AATTAAGCTGTTCCTCATTCAACCTGCCATGCCTAGAGAATCATTGAAACATATTTAATGACTTGTTTCCAAGCACCTTAACAACGTTAGGGCCTTGCAGGGGGTGTGTGTGTGTGTGTGTGTGTTTGTGTGTGTGTGTACATGTATGTACATAGGGTGCCCCTAATCCAGGGTCCATCTGCAGACAGATACCTGTAGCCTGCCAGGTATCAGCTGTGTGCCTACCTGAATCGCTATCCTGTTATTTTCCAGTCATTATTCAGTCATATCTGACTCTTTGTGGCCCCATTTGGGGTTTTCTTGGCAAAGATACTGGAGTGGTTTGCCATTTCCTTCTCCAGCTTATTTTACAGATGAGAAAATTGAGATAATCAGGGTTAAAAGTGACTTGCCCAAGGTCACACAGCTACTAAGTGTCTGAGGCCAGATTTGAACTCATGAAGATGAGTCTTCCTGACTCCAGCCCAGCACTCTGTGCACTATGGCGCCAGCTAGCTGCCCCTATAACATATAAATATTAAAGTTTAGGGGGAAACTATTACTGTCTGTCACTTAGATCAGAAAGCTATGTAACGAGCAGGGTTTAGAAGCTGTGGAAGGGATGTTGTCCAGACTAGTCTAGAGGAAGAACTTAGAGATCAGGGCCCTGGCCTCATCAAAAGATTTGTGGAAGCAGAGGACCATTCAAGGGTAGACCTATCATGGAGAAAATTGAACTTAACAAGGGGTCATAGAATAGATTTGATGTCATAGAGGTTGGAGTGGAACAGTGACCACTCCAGATCAGCTTCATTGGGCCAGCTCCTGTGGAAATGTGAGTTGACTTTAGAAACCAATCTCATTTACAAAGTTGAGGATCATAGGTGATTTTGGTCTAGGACTCCCCCCACCCCCAGCTGAGGTGTATATTAGACCAATGTTTGACTTCCATGAACCCATGTGATCTACAAAGCACCAGATCAAGTGTTAAAATGGTAGAATACCATATTACCAAATCAGTTCTCCATAACATGAATAACATTCTGGTTGAGGGTCCATATTAATGCTATTTTGCAAATGTAAATGAATGACCCACCACTTACTAGTTTTTGTTGTTCAGTTGTTTCAATTGTGTCTATCTCTTCGTGACCCCTTTTGGGATTTTCTTGGCAGAGATACTGGAGTGGGTTGCCATTTCCTTCTCCAGCTCATTTTACAGATAAGGAAACTGAGGTATGCAGGGTTAAGTGATTTGGCCAGGGTCACACAACTCGTAAGTGTCTGAGGTCAAATTTGAACACAGGGCCCGATTCCAGACCCAGCACTGTATCCATTGTGCCACCTAGCTGCCCCTCCATTTATTAATACCTAAATGCTATTAAAAGAAAAATCCTTTGTGGCACATACGTGTTCAAGGGAATAGCCCTGACCAGTTAGCAATCCATTTATTTAATGCTGATGTCCTTTGGCATTGTATTTTTATGCACTACAGTGCTAAATAACCTTAACCTTTGAAATACATTTCTCAATTCTTAAGGAATCATTGTTTCAAGCTTTTATCTGATGCAAGAATCTTGTCTACCCCATCCTTGGCAGGCAGCCAGCTAGCTAGCCACATTTCTCTACAAGATTCTCATGAATAGCTTTTTCATATAATTTGCTGAAATCCAGGTACACTCTTGTCTTCAGCCTTCGATCAGTTATTAACCAAGGATTCATGAAAATCCTACTGTGTGCCAAGTTCTGGGCTAGGCTGGCACTTATTTCAGTACTTTTAAATGGTCCATGGTCATGATCTAGATTTTCCCTCCAGTGGTGCCAATCTATCCATCCTTTCATTCTGTATGATTCTTATCTGTATCATCTCATAAATGTTTCACAGAAGATCTGCCCAATGTGCCAGAGATCTTCCCATGAACGTTTTAATATTCAGGATTATCAGTGAAGCGCTTGGGGCTGGCTGTTCCCATGTTATCTTCTCTCACTACGTGACCAATGCACTTCCTTTTCTGATCATGCATGAAATATTTTATACCACTTCCTGTACACCAATCATTTTTGGTAATACATTCCCATCTCTTTAATCTTGCGGTGCCCCTTGGGCCACCTACCATTTTGATTCTTTAGAAATTGTATTACTAAAGATTCACAGCATCATTAAGTCTAGTAACCAGTTTAGCGCATTGTTTTTTTGAGACTGTCTCCCTGTTTTGCCTAGGCTGGAAGCACAGTAGCCACTCATGTGGCAATCCCAATGCTGCCGGGTCCAGAGGCTTTAACCTGCTCTGCTTTTCTGACCCACTCCAATCCATCTTCTACTCAGCTGCCAAAGTGATCTTCTGAAATCACAAATCTGACCATGTGGCCCCACCCAGTGGCTCCCTATCCCCTCTAGGATCAAATGTAAAATCCTCTGCTCTTCATAATCCAGCCTCTTCCCACCTTTCCAGATTTCAAACACCTTCCTCCTCTGTGATCCAGACAGCGGCCTCCTTGCTGCTCTCAGAACAAGTGCTCCATTTCCTGACTTTGAGCATTCTCATTGGTCCTGCATCCCTACAAGGTTTCCCTGCTTCATTTGTTCCTTCTAGCTTCCTATAAGCCTCAGTTAAAGTCTCACCTTCTGCAAGAAGACTTTCAGTCCAACTTAATGTTAGTATCTTACTTCTGAGACTTGCTCAAATTTATTTTCGGTATCATGCATCTTATTTGTACAGAGTTATTTGACATCAATTGGTTGTCAACAGCTGGTTGTCGAAATAACCAGCTCTCTGAAAAATGTGCTTATGGCACACTTTTAATTTGAATGGCATTATTAACATTTTCTCCATCACGTTCTTAAGTCTAGACAGTCAACAAAATAATAAATCAAGCCCTGATTTGTATCATTTGCTAATTTCTGAGGTATAAATGCCCACACTGAAAAATTTGACAGTCAGCTGAAGTTTAAGTTGACTTTAGCACACCCTGATTGTCTCCCTCACTAGATTATGAACTTCTTGAGAGAAAGAACATTTTTTTGGCCTTTCTTTGAATCTCTAGATCCTTGCACTGTGCCTGGCACACAGTAGGTGCTTGATAAATGCTAGTTGGCTGATTGACATATTTAAAAAAAAAGTCTGACCTTATATGGAGTATTCCAAATTGCCAAATTGATCATCCCCTGTCTCTTCAAAGGTGATGGAGGTTTCTTCTTATATCTTTTCTTTGGGGCCACCAACTTTTTAATAAGTTTTAAGATATCATTCATTCTGCTTTCAAATACACTTAAGGCAAAAAGCATAAATAGAGGTATAATCCAAATCTCAACTAAACATTTACCTTGCTGTGTGTTGCTGCCTTCAATTGTTCCTTGTTTATTAGCAGGACCCAGAGATTCTACACCCAAAGGACCCCAGGAACTATCCTTGATGGAAGCTGTTATTACTGTATAGAAACAGAATATACAACAAATATTTTCCATTCAAAAATTACACAATGTAGCATATCCCTCTCTCTAGCACATGGTGCAGTAGACTTTTATTTTAGTGACCAAAACCGGATAACAATTTTGATGACTGCTTATCATGGGATCAGAGATCTAGTACTGGAGCACAACTCAGAGATCATCTCATCCAATCCCCTCAAGTTACAGAGAAGGAAAGTTAAATGACTTGCCCAGGGTCACACAGGTAGTAAGAGTTATTGTGTGTTAGTTGAATTCATGACATAATAAAACTCTAAATGAGGACTCAGAAGATTTTGGTTCTAGATTTAGATCCGTCATGATCTAGCTACGGACAAGTCACATTACCTCTCAAGGCATCAGTTTCCTTATCGGTAAAATTAAGGCATTGGGCTAGATGATTTCTGAGATACTTTTCAGTTCTCAAGTTCTATGATTCAAAAACTTTTAAATGGTTTTCTAGATAGAGATGTTAATATGTGGCAATGTAGTATGGTGGTGGGATGGGAGAAGGAATAAGCATTTATTAAGTGCCTACTGTATGCCAGGCATTGTGCTAAGTGCTCTCATTTGATCCTCTCAACAACCCTATGAGGTCGGTCTTATTATTATCTCCATTTTACAATTGAGGAAACTGAGGCAGACAGAGGTTAAGTGACTCCCTCAGAGTCACTAGTAGAAGGAATACATGGTCTTGGATTCACAAGACGTGAATTCTAGTCTTGGTGCTGACTCCCAACCATTTTGTCCAGCTTCATTGTATGTTACTTCCCCTCCCCCTATGGAGAATATATATTACTCTACCATCAGGCCAAATTGGCTTTTTCTTTATTCTTTGAACACATGACATTCCATCTCCTATCTATATACTTTTGCACTAGCTGTGCCAAATGCCTGGAATACACTAACTCCTCACCTCTGCCTCATGGAATCTCTCTCTGCCTTTAAGATACAGCTCAAGTACTACCACCTTCTACTTGAAGCCCTTCCTGATCTCCCCAGCTGCTAATGCCCTCCCTCCCTTGTATATGTTGTATATATTGGTATTTTATGTATTTATATATTAGCCTTGTATATATTGGTTTTTATTTTTATGTTTATTCTATGTGTATATGTATATATGTATATATTTCCCCTCCCCCCCCCAATAGAACCCTTGAGAGAAGGAATGGTTTCTTTCTTTGTATTTGCATTCCTAGCCCTTAGCACAGTGCCTGGCACATAGTAGGCACTTCATAAATGTTTGTTGATTGATTAGCATTTCTCATCTATGTTAGACATGTGATATTACTCTAGACAAGTCACTTAACTCTCTGTTCCTCAGTTTCCATCTTGGTCAGATGAGAATAATAATGCTTACACTGCCTGCCTCACAGAATTGTGAGCAAACCACTTTGCAAACCTTACGGTGAAAGGCCGAGGTGAGTTATTACTGTTTGTTAATCACAAAGGATTGTAAAAATGTCAGTGGCTAACGTCCTTGCTTGTCCATGAGGACCCAGGAGAATGAAAGATCGGCAAAGGTGAATGTACCTGACTTTCGACTTCCTTTTTTCCTGTCTTCCTTCTCATTCAGGCAAAGTGCAGGAACATGGAGCATTGTCTTCGGGAGAAGGCCAAAGCTTTCCGAGCCATGAGGCGTTCTTACGAGGCCATTGTCAAGCATAATCAGGTGAATGTCCCATCAGGAAAGCTGTGCAATGCAGAGCTTCAGCTCAAGACAGAAGATAAAAGAGAAAGCAGGATGGTAGGCAGAGGAGGTGGTAGGCACTGAACATGGATCCTGGCTGATAGGGTAACATAAAAAAGAGGGCCGTACCTTTGGCTGGCCCTATTATGGTGTGGCTTCTTCTATAAGAACCCCAAATCTTCTCCCTCTGCATCTCTCTGTTTTAGGAGCCCTAAAGCTTGTACTATAACCTCTGCCAGAGCTAGAGGTACAGAGTGAGAGGAAGGAAGAAAAGTCAATACAGTATAGATACTTGCTGAATGAAATAAACAAATGAATGAAAGATGGTGCTTGGAATATCAGGACTATAACTTTGGGCTATTCTTTCTTCTCAACTACTGCTGTAGCCATCCTTGTTCAGTCTGCATGTCTTCTCTCCTAGTTTATTGCAGTAGCCTCCTAACTGGTCTTCCTGCCTTTCATCTATCCTCTCTACAATTCTCCTTAACTCAGCTACTCAAAGAATCTTCCTAATGCATTGTACAATGTTCTCCTGGTTCTTCTCACTTCATTTTGCATCAGTTCATGTACGTCTTTCCAGGTTTTTCTGAAATCTGCCTGCTCAAAGGACTGGAGTTTTTTTTAATGGCTTTGTAAACCTAAACACCTTAGCACAGTGTCTTGGACATACTAGGTGCTTTGTAAATACTTATTAGATTGCCTTGAATTTTTTTAAAGGTTTCCTTGGTTGGTGTTGAAGATAAACATGAGGGACTAGGTGGAAAATAAGTTGGCTATAGCAATAGATGAAAAGGTGTGGGATGTGAAATGTGCCTGATCACTACCAGCCTGCATTGAATTTCATGTGGCTGCTGACACTTCCCTAGCAACCTGCCTGAGCTCCTATAATTTTCTCCTCACTAGTCCATATAAAATACTGTTGGGTAGACCCTTCTTGATATTCGGTTACCCAGTTCAGAGCTAGACCTGTTTCCTGTCTGTGCAGCTGGCTGAGAATAGTGACCTATGACTAATGAAGAAGCCAGTTTGAATTTCTTTTCAAAACCTTTGTTTAAATTTTGTTCAAAATGTTCTGTTCTGTCTGAAGTTTAGGGTTATAGGCTCCTTAAGAACAGTTTTTTTAATTTTGTTTTTTTTCTAATTGAAAATAATAAATAACTTTTAACATTTGTTTTTAAATTTTGAGTTCCAAATTCTCTTCCTCCCTCCCCTTCCCCTTCCTTGAGAAGGCAAGCATTTTGCTATATGCACATGCCCTATTTGCACATGTATAATTACGCAAAAGGTATTTCCATATTAGCCATGTTGCAAAAGAAAACATACCCCTCCCCCAAAAAAACAAGAAAAATACAGAAAGTGAAAAATAGTATGCTTCAATCTGCATTCAGATCCACCAGTTCTTTCTCTGGAGGTTGATAGCATTTTTCATTAGAAGTCCTTTGGAATTGTAAGAGCAGTTTCCATAAAAAATTTTCTGGCTACCTTGGACCAGAATCCTTATGACTACCTTATAGTCCTTATGAGTACCAATTGGTTGTGGTGGTGGTTGCTGTTACAGGGGCAGCTAGGTGACACTAGCTATGTGACTCTGAGCAAATCACTTCACCTGTTTGCCTCAAGTTTCCTCATTTGTAAAATGGGAATAATAATAATAACACCTATGTCCCAGGGTTGTTGTGAATCAAATGAAATAACATTTGTAAGGCACTTAGCACAGTGCCGGGCATGTATTAAGCATTATTTTTATTTTTATGCTGATGATGATAATGATGATGAAGAGCATATTCTTCTGTTAGAAGAGAAAATGAATAATGGTACATTTATGATCTCAGTGAGAACATGCCCTTTTTGACTGCTTTTTTCTCTTTCTCTTTGCTTGTAGAGAAGTTCAACAAATCTAATAAATGTTCAGGAAGTGCCAACCATGTGTGAGACATAGTTGTAGACATTGGGGATACAAAGCAAAAAAAAAAAAAAACCACACACACACACACACACACACACACTCGAAACATTACTTGCCCTCAAGGAACTTCCTTTCTCCTGGAAAGGAAGAAGGAGGTTGCTGATGCCTGATGTTCATGATGCCTGTTTTCAGACCAACTACCGCACTGTTTGTAGCACCTCTGTATCTTGATTGGGAGCATTGTCTCTCAAGCTCTAGAACTTCCTTTGCTGGAAAAAAAAAAGCCAGTTCCTTCCTAATTGTTATGCACCAAAACATTACTGTTTCTCAGCAGTCCATTATTGCCTCTTATAGTTGCAATTACTCTCTAGTACATTCTAAGTATCTGCTTAGACACTGCTGTTTGCTCTTTATGTGGGGACCACCATTTCTTAAGGGGTCCCAGCCATGCTTGCTTCCTTCCCACTTAACTCACTCTTTAGTCTTCTCCATCTCCTCACCTTGAGTACTCTGCCCCTCCTTTTCAGCACCCATTTATATGTTGTCTTCCCCTATTAGAGTCACTTAGCACAGTGCTTGGCACAGAATAAACACAACAAATACTCTGTCTCTCTACTGTAGCCCATCATAGAAACTTCTTTGGTGCCGTATCTGCCTGTTTCTGTCCTGTAGCAAGAGCCAGTTATGAGGAAGGGGCAGGGTTTCAGTACTACTGGACCTGCAGTACCCGGGGAACTCCTTGTTAGTGACCTAGTTGGCCCATTCAGTGATAGAAAGAGCTTATGAGTGATATTAATAAAACTGCCAAAGACCTCGGACAGGATGTCTCAGGTTAGGTACATCTATTGCTTTAGTGAGGAGAGCTCCATCTCTTGAAGATCACTTCTCACAGGATAAGCTTAATTGGCCTCCTTGTTAAGACCTGAAGCTGAATTCACTGGCAGGTTTCAGCTTCATGGGACTCATGAAACTAGTTGTGTGTATATGCCCCTGAGTATGATACTTCACGGGTGTTATCTTCAGACTTGGAATACAAGCCCAGTCTGTAATTGAGTACACAGATAACTAATAGTAGTGATTGGGGAAGGCGGGGGTGGGAGAGTATTGGGAGGATCATCCAGATTTCTGATTTCCTCAGTGTAGAGAACCCCCAGTGCAGAAATTCCCTCTACCTGTACAAATGAGCAAACCATTTCTCTCTCATTCTTAAAGCTTTTCTCATGTATGTCATGGACCCCTACCCTTAACCTAGTGGTCTGGTGAAGCCTATGGACTCTTTCTCAGAAAACTATTGTGAAGTGAACAAGATAAAAAAACATAGGATTACAAGTGAAAATAAAATGTAACACCCACCCCTACCCCTCATCCAAGTTCACAAGCTCTTTGAAGTCTATGGACCCCAAGTTAAGAACTCTGGTCTTAAAGAACTGCCTGAGGCTGTTGTCCAAAGTCACACAGCTAGAATGTGTCACAACTTAAACCTAGATCTTCCTGACTCCAAGTCTAGCCTTCTATCCACTGTGCAACATTGTCTTTCAGTTAATGGCACTAGGTAGCCAATTTAGAATGTACAGTCAATCACATCTTAATCCATTACGTTACTGGTGGTAATGTCTCAAAACTACTTTGTATTTATTTGGCATATACTTTTTATTTTGTTGTTCTATATGGGGCAGCTAGGTGGTACATCAAATAGAGTACTGGGCTTGAAATCAAGAAGACTCATCTTCCTGAGTTCAAATCTGGCCTCAGACACTTCCTAGCTGTGTGACCCTGGGTAAGTCACTTAACCCCGTTTGCCTCAGTTTCCTTGTCTATAAAATGAGCTAGAGAAGGAAATGGCAAAGACACTCTGTATTTACTTATATGTGTATGTGTTGGTACTTAGTAAGTTGTTCCATGTAAAGTTCTGGAGGCAGGGACTTTAGCTTTTGTTGTCATATCCTCCAGTCTCTAGTACAGTGCCTGGCACACAGTAGGCACTTAATTAATACTTGTTGATTGATTAATAATCATAGCTGATATTTACATAGCGCTTCAAGAGTTGCAAAGGTTTTCTATGCATTATCTCATTTCATCCTCATTATCTCCGGCATTTGAGGAAACTGAGTCTCAGTAACCGTAGTTGCTGTGCCTAGGGTCACATAGCTAGTGAGTTTCTGGCATAGAGTTTGAACTTAGGTCTTCTTGACTTGAAGTCCAGTGCCCTCTCTACCATGCTGCCTACCATTAATTACATTGGATAGCCATTCTGAAAATGCCCGGCCACAACTTGTGCAATTCCAACAGTGATGGACAGTAAGGGGCCATAACAACCAAAGCCAATGAGGTCGGGGCAGCCTGCAGACACTCGCATGTTTCATCAGCTGTCAAAACCATATCCCTGCTTCCTCCCTGAAAATGTCAGTTCCGTTGGGTCCAGAGGCTTAAATGTAATGCTGCCTGACCCTGTCATCAGTGGTGCCTCCCTGAAGGACTACAACAAAGGCCAGGCCTCCACATCCCAGCCTGCTTTGTCAGGCTTCATCCTCAATGGTGACAGTGCTATTAAGAATTTCTGGGAGTCGGTGCCGTCTCCCTGATTTCCCCTTCTCCGTGATAAGAGTAGACCTTGTCACGGCCCAGCCATGGGACCGAAGAGTCTTTTCATAGTTGTGTAGCAGCTGGGTGGCATGTATTGCCTGACATTTCTGAAGAATCCCCCCTCCCCCTCTCTGAGTGGGAAGGCAAGAATAATAACTGACATCTGGATAGCACACAGTGCCTGGCATGTAGCAGGTACTTAATAAATGCTTGAAACACTTGACATATTGATCTCATTCGAGCCTCAGGACAAAAAGAAGTACAGGGAAAAGAGGGCTGGGTTTGGGACCCGGATTGAAATCTCAATTCTGTCACCTGTGTGACCTTGGTCAGCTAGATTGCTCACTGGAAAAAATGCTGGGCCTAGAGTCAGGAAGATTCCTTTTTCTGAGTTCAAATCTGGCCTCAGATACTTACTAGCAGTGTGACCCTGGGCAAGTCACTTAACCCTATTTGCCTCAGTTTCCTCATCTGTCAAATGAACTGGAGAAGGAATGGCAAACCACTCCAGTATCTTTGCCAAGAAAATCCCAAATGGGGTCATAAAGAGTCAGACACAACTGAAAACAGCTTAACAACAACAACAACCTTGGGCAAGCCATTGGATCTCTTTTTCATCTGTAAAGTGAAGGAATTGGACTAGGTGATCTCTAAGGTCCATCCCAACCCTATAATTATGATCCTGTTAACCCTGTAAGTAGGTACTTGAGGTAAAATTATCCATTTTACGAAGGTAAAAACTGAGGCTCTGAGAGGATACTTGCCCAGCATCATTTTGGGTGCTGACCAACAGGTATTATTTCTGAAAGGGATTCCCTGCTCCAGGGTTTTAGGATTGCTATAAGCTATTAATGACAACAGTGCTTATCACAGTGCCTGGTACATGTTAGGTGTTTAATAAATGTTTATTGATTGGTTGATTGCAAGTCTCTACAAGGTTGCTTGCCCAGGGTCACACAGATAGCAAGGATCAGAGATGAGGTTTGAACCCAGATCTTCCTGACCCCAGCTCCCACAGTCCTATGTCCCATTCTCCCTCCTTGGTGGTTTTTAAGCAAAGACTGGGTGACCACTTGTCAGGGATACTGTAGGGAGGGTCTCATACTGGTTAGACCTGAGATAAAATTCAGCCTCAGACACTTAGTAGCCATGTGAATGTGCCCTCACTCAGCCTCCATTTCCTCATCTGTAAAAAAAAAAAAGGGAGAATAGTGTCTGCCTCACAGGGTTGTTGTGAGGATCAAGTGAGATAAAACATCTAAAACTTTGTAAAGTGCTACATAAATGTTAACTGTTGTTCTTATTACTTTCTGTAATTTTGAAAAATGATTCCATTTATTTACCAAATCATCCTTCTCAATCTCTAAACACAGAAGAACTTCACCCAGTAATTCAAGGCCAGCATTCTTCAGCCTTGACAAACCTCGTCTCTGTTCCCACTTCTTGTCCATCTTCAGCCTAACTTGGACTCCTTTCTCCATGTCTCCTAATTCCTTACTCTGTACCTTCTCCCAGGCCCTTCTCACCTCTCCGCCCAGCTCACATTCTCCCTCGTCTGCCTTAGGTGGAAGCTGCCTGGCTTCAGGGCAGGATCCGGCAGGAATTTGAGAAACTCCGAGAGTTCTTGAGAGTAGAAGAGCGCGCGGCCCTGGATGCAGTGACTGAGGAGGCGGGGCAGAAACTGAGGCAGGTAGAAGAAAAAATGAAACAGTTGGCAGAAGAGACGGAGGCCTTGGCTCATGAGATCGGGAGGCTACAGATGGAGATGAAGGAAGATGACATCTCCTTTCTCATGGTAAGAGGGTCAGTCCTGAGGCCTGGGATAGGCTGGGGGTTGGGGGGGGGAGGGATGGAAAGAATTCTATGGGGCTGGTTGGAATGAATGAACCCATGAAGTCTTTTGTATGAAGAGTATTTAGGAGACCAGCAGCACTGGCTGATCCCAATCCTTCGTACCCCACTTTCGGTGCTGACCAGATATTCTAGGTGAAAACGGTTCCTTGCTCCAGAGTTTTAGGATTGCTATAAGCTATTAATGATAAACGTTCTCCCTGTGAGTCTCTACCTTTTCCAAGAGCTTTGCAACAAACCCAGCATCCTTATAGCAACCTGCTTGCTCCTCTCTCCTCTCCTCCTCTCCTGTCATAGAGAAATTGGGGGCTGCTTTGGGTGATGCTGATGCCAGGAACCAGAGAGAATTAACTGGAAATAAAAGGTTCTGTGAGGTTAGGAGCATTCCATACTCCATATCATATCTAGGTTCTACAGTCTAACCAGAGGTTTGGCTCACCTGGATGGAGTCCAAAAAAGAACAACAGAAATTGGTAGAAATTATAAACAAGGGCTGTGGGAACTGAGCTTATTTGTCAAAAAGAATAGATAAAGTGTGACAGAGTGAATAGAGAGCTGGCCTTGGAGTCAAGGATATCTGGTTTCTAGGCTTTCTTGTGGTACATACTAGCTGTGTGAACATGGGCAAATTATTTAACCCTTCAGTTGTTGATTTTCATGGGTAAAGGAAGTTTCCACACTAAGCATTCCCCACAATGATGATGTCATTGGCCCAGATGCCAAAAATTCAAAGCATAGACCAGCTGGTTTTTCTCTCAGTTAGAAACCTACCCAAAAAAAAGGGAAGGGGATTTAAATCAAATCAAAAGACATTTATTTAGGGAAGATATAATAACTCACTGAATGTGAGGCAAAACCAGGTTGTTCAGAAGATATGATTTAGAGCAGAGGTGTTAAGCATATGGCCATTAAAATGTAATTGGGAAATATTAACAAAATAAGTAAAACTACAATATAATATAGATAACGTTAAATTGTGGTTTTCTAAGTCAATATGCAACTGATTTAGGATCTGCTTCTTTGAAGAGATTTTAAAAATTGGAATAAATACTAATCTGCCTGGGATGCTTTAAGTGTAGACCAAAGCAGAGGCAGAGATGGAGCAGAAAATAATTACAACTCAAATTTCTATAGTGCTTTCAGATTTACAAAATACTTTCCTGTATAACAAAGCTGTGGAGATACAAATATTAATTACCTCCTTTTTATAGGTAGGGAAATGGAGGCCTGAGAAAAGTCAAGTGCCTGACTAAATAGATGGGCATTTCTTTGAGTCTATGTGAACTGAAAATTAAGAGAGTAGGTGACTTCCACATATGACTCAATATACCAGAGCCTTTTGTCCAGCTGGATCATTGGCTGCTCAGTAAACCAGTAAGTCCTGGCTGACTCCTGATCTGTAACTCCTATCTTCTTTTCCCTTAACTTCATCCCCTTTTCCTTTTTCTTCTGATCTTCCCCTGTCTTCCACCAAATCCAACCCAACCCCCCCCCCTGTATCGCTACCTAACCCACCTGCCTTGCCTTGCCCTGAGCTGCAAAGAGTTTGGTTTAGAAAGACAGGCATCCCAGAATATGAGGAGAACTGAGGAAGAAGTCTGTCCCAGGGAGGGAAGTGGGGGCTTTAACACTTTCTTCTAATGGTTGTAAGTTCTTCAAATTTTTTATACTTCTTGTGGTTTATATGTAGATGTTTAAAAAATCACTGTAAATTCATGTCTATCTGTGTCAAATATTTTATATACTGTAACAAATTCAAGGTCCTGAGTTTGTTGGTTTGGGTTTGGGTTTTTACTGATTAGGTTGTTTTATGTGTATGTCTTAATTTTTAGGCAAAGAAGCAATTTCATTCCTAGCTATTTAATAGAGACTTGTGAGAAAGAGAGTTCAAAAACTTCTCTAAAAATGGCCTAAAATGTTAGTGATCAGCTCATTGAATACTAAAATTAATATAATGAATTTGGATATGGAATAGAATTAGAATATAGCCCCCACAGGCATGGAATTTTACTAGCTGAGTGTCACCCAGAGGTAGGGAGCCTGTGAGGCAGGCACCAAAAGGAGACATTCCCATTTTGGCCTGGAGCTATAGAAAGGCAGCATTGCTTTGAAAGTCTGGAGCAGGTTCCCCACCCCGGACTCTGAAGCAACAGTATTGGAAAAGGCCATAAGGTGCAGAAATGCTACTCTACAAAAGTGCTTTCTCTTGTATCTTTGCCCTGTACATTTTTCTCCTTTTGTGTTACATCTTCCCCCTTAATTTCTTCCTCCTTTTTTCCTACCTGTATTATGCCCTCAAATGGAAATGTTTGTCATATTTACTGAATAGGGTTGGTATTCTCCAGTCTTCATTTTAAAGGCTGATGAGTGGAATAGTTTGTAATCCAGATAAAATGGTCTATTTGTTATTCCCTGAACATGTTATTCCATCTCCTGTCTCAGGACTTTGTTTAGCCTGTTTCTCAGACTTGGAATTCACTCCCTTCTCACTCCAGCCTCTTAGAATCCCTAGCTTCCTTCAAGGAAAGAAGGAAGAAAATAAGCATTTATTAAGTGCCAAGTGCTTTACAAATATTATCTCATTTTATCCTCATAAAAACTCTGGGAGTTAGGCACTATTATTATTCCCATTTTATAGTTGAGGTAAATGAGGTAGACCAAGGTTAAGTGACTTGCCCAGTGTTCCAAAGCCAGTGTCTGAGGCTAAATTTGAACTCAGGTCTTCCTGACTCCAAGCCCAGTACTTTAACTACTGTACCATCTAGTTGCTTCAAGGCCCAGCTCAAATGCTACCTCCTACATGAGGCCTTTCCTGATCCTCTTAGTGGCTAGTTTCTATTCCACCCCACTCCCCAAACTACTTTGTATTTTGTTTTTGTTGTTCAGTCATGTCTGACTCTTCATGACCCCATTTGGGGTTTTCTTGGCAGAGATACTAGAGTGATTCGCCATTTCCTTCTCCAGCTCATTTTACAGATGAGGAAAATGAGGCAAACAGGGTTAAGTGACTGGCCCAGGGTCACACAGCTAGTAAGTTGCCTGAGGCCAGATTTGAACTCAGGAAGATTTATTTTGTGTATATTTTGTATTCACTGATCTGTGTTCTTTTTGTTTCCTTACCATATAATATAAGCTCTTTGAGGGCAGAGATGATTTTATTTTTGCCATGTTAGCCACAGTACCTAGTACATAGTAGGTGTTTAATAAATGCTTGTTGAATTTTTTATTTTTCCCTTTAAAAATAAACATTCATTCTGGGTTTTTTAATTAGGCTCCAAAGATTTTTTTTTCCTTTTAATTATTGACCTTTAATAGAAGAAAAAAAAGGTTCTCTATCTACAATCTAAAATGTTGTCCTGTGAGTTTAGTCTTTATGTATGGCCTTCAAAATGTCTGTGTGTATGGGTGGACAGGTTGGTTTTGGGCCTAGGAGTGGGGAACCTGTGGATTCAAGGCTGCATGTAACCTTCTAGGTCCTTGGATGAGGCCTTTGGACTGAGTCCAAGTTTTACAGAATAAATTCTTTTATTAAGAGGATTTGTTCTGTGAACTTTGGATTCAGTCAAAGCACTTGGGAACCTAGAGGACCACATGGGGTCTTGAGGCTGCAGGTTCCCTACCCCTGGTTTAGGCTGAAAGCCAAAAGATTGACAACAAATAGTAGAGCTTTGACACCCACACTTTCCCAGGCTTGGAAACTGAGTGAAGTTTTTCTGGGGCCTCAGTTACTTCCTACCATGTATCAGATAAATGTTGGCTTTTATTGAATCTAGATGTTTAACTCTTTACTGCATGTTCTTTTTTTCTTTCAGAAACACAAGAGCCGTAAACGCAGGTAAGTTCCTAGACATAATTGGGGAACAAACAAATCATACGCCTTCCTTCCTTCCTTCCTTCCTTCCTTTCTTCCTTCCTTCCTTCTTCCCACCCTTTCTTCCTTCCTTCCTTCTGCTTTCTTTCCTTTTTCTCTTTTACCTAGCATGAAGTCATAGGATGTTAAAAAGAATCACAGCACAATATATTTAGCTGTCTCTGTTTGTGGCTCCAGCCACACCCAGACATATAAAAGAGTTCCAATGAGGCAGTAACCAAAGCCCATTGAAGACACGTTCTAGAACCACCTTTGGAGTCCACAGAAAGGCATTAAAAATGACCATAACACAACAGTGGATGTTTGAGGAGGACAGAAAGTCTGTAAATACAGATCGACCTACAGGATTTGAAGCCTCTTCTCCTATCTTATCCTTGTTCTCACCCTTTGCCCCACCTGATCCCATAGGTCTTAGTCATTCCTTGAACCCCAAGTTTAATCCATATCCAGTTCCATTTGCTTTCCTTCTGTAACTGATAGTCCCACCTCTCCCCTACCCCACTGCCCTCCCAGCCCTGCCCTAATGAACCCCCATGTACAACTGCCTTTAAGGTAGAATGGTTTTAAATCAGGCAAGAGGACTCTCGCTTTGCTCAGTATTAAAAAGATATTTTCCCTGTCATTCTGAGAATGATCCTCCCACACAGGCATATCCCATGATGAGATTTTTCAGAGCCCATTGAATTTCCAGAATGGTCAGCAGATCTGAAGAGCTCAGCTCTGTTGGGAAGGGCATATTTTTCTGATTCAAGTACCCAAGAGGGCAGTTGACCCAAGAACTTTGGAGACCATGAGCTTCTGAAGCTTCTGGACTCAACTATCTGGGGGTAGGGCCACAAGGACTGGGCCCTAAATAAGAAATCAGTGGGCTTAGCCTTCCACAAGGAATAGAAGCTGCCTAGTTCTGTCAGTATTACCCATGGATGCCCATAAGGTACCTAAGCATCAGGGAAACTGAGGAGTTAGTGAAGTTATTTCTTCTGAGGACAAACCCTTTGGGTCTTTGGTAAAATTTGGATTCAGTCAAAAGGCCACACTTAAGGACCTAGAAGGCCACCTGTGGCCTGAAGGTGCAGGTTCCCCACTGGTGGAGTAGACATATTCTGTCCCCTGGAGCCGAGCAGAGCTAGAAACAACTGGCTGAAGTGGCAAAGAGACAAAAGCGGGCTTGATGGGCTTGATGTAAGAAAGAACTTCCCAACCGTTGGAGCTATCCAAATCACGATAGAAATAGTCGGCCTCAGGACATTGAGTGGGTTTCCCCTCACTGCTGTTTTTGTTGACTTGTGTCAGTCAGTCTGAATCTTCCTGACCCCATTTGGGGCTTTTTTGACAAAGATACTGGAGTGATTTACCATTTCCTTCTCCAGCTCATTTTACAGATGAGGAAACTGAGGCAAACTGAGCATTAAGTGCCTTGCCCAGGGTCACACAGCTAGTAAGTGTCTGAGGCCAGATTGGATTACAGGAAGATGTCTTCCTGACTCCAGGTCTGCCACTCTATCCACTGTGCTAGCTAGCTGTCCCCTTCCCCTCACTAGAGACCTTAAAAAAAATCTGTACTTGGGTCCATTGAAGGGAGGATTTTTGTTTAGGTTCAGGGTGGACTTGATGGTCAGTGAAGCCCCTTCCAGATCTCTGATTGTGATGCTCTGAAAGTGTCAGAGAAGCCCAAGTAGCAAGAGAGATAGAAGGGGCCCCATTCCTTTCATGTCACCCCACTGGTGCCCTTGTGGCCTCATCTACCCCTTACTTCCTTGCTTAGGCTTTCCTGCACGACTGAGCCAGAGCCTGTCCAACCAGGAATGCTTATCGATGTCAGCAAGTACCTGGACTCCCTGCAGTACCGTGTCTGGAAGAAGATGCTGAGCAGTATTGAAGCTGGTGAGTAGGAGGGGTGGTTGGGTTCTCCAGGATGGAAGAGGTGGGGGGTAGGGAAGGGAGTACATAGTGACAAGTGTATTGAAATAGGAGTCCAGGCCTGAGATCCACCTCTGCCCCTAACTTAGTGGCATTATATTGGGCAGGCTACTTCCCTAACTTTGAGCCTCAGTCTCTTCAATGAGGAGATTAGATGTCCTGAGGCCTCTTCCAGCTCGAAACTTAAGTGACTTTGCTTCTGGGTGAGCACTGTGACATACAGGTATGTCCCCTAACCCCTCTCTGTTTTGCCATGATGAGAAGCTCTTTAGTTCTGAGGCACATGTTTTCATTTCCTGGAGAGAGAGAGATGGAGAATTTGGAAAGCCTCCAGAACAGGTTATTATAACAATCCAGAAAACAGGACCTATGAAGGCAAGGGAAATGAAATGGCTATTGTGCAGCAGAAAGCCTAGATGATTCTTGATCATTTTCTGCAGAATGTTGTTGGCATGAGCTGAGCATGAATGAAATGTGTTGGTTCAAACCTAACTGACAATTTTGCTGTCAGCTTATATGAGCTGCAGTTTCCATCAGGGCTCCCAGCTGGGATGAGCAGAGAGCTCCCCCAGTCTACTCCAACCTCTAACCCTGTTCCTCCCACCAGCTCTGACTCAGGCACTGCTGCTGTAGCTCAGCCTTATTACTTAGCTGCTGGTGGGCCCTGGCCTTTGAGAGAGGGTCCTCTGCCAGGCCTCCACCTACCCACAGGGTTGGTAACAACCAACTCAAAGGTGGCAAGAGGATAAAGCTCGGGTGTGAGAAGTGGAGAATAATAGAGGATTCTGGCATAGGGAAGGGGTAAGGGAGGGTAAAGCAGTTCTCCCCATCTCCCCTCCCTCATATCAGATCCTAAAACAAGCTTATCCTAATAAGATGTAAATGCCTTGCATTACATTCTTGTTAGGGTTCATCTTAGTGGATTTGGCCCAACATTTTGATCTGTTGAGATCTTCTGGGTTGCTGATTCCACCACCCAGCTGGTTGACAGTACTTACTTTTTGTTTCCTCTTTTTATCTCGAGCATATAATGAGTGCTTTGGGGATTAAATTAATATTAATGGTATTTGTATTATGAATATTAATAATAATTAATATTAATGATTGCTTTTTTAATTAAAAGCTAGAGGGGGCTAGATGTCTGCCTCTGGAAGCAGGAGGAAATCCCCCTAGCTTCCTATTTGCCATCCAGATGACCCCTACTTTTAAACCAACCTATACCTCTTCCTGCACCTTACTCTTCTAGTTGGCCCCATTCTGACAAAGACTTCATCCAAGTACTGAACAGCAGTGGACACTACCCTTTAAATCAAAATAAAAACCCCTTCTCTGATCCTTTTTCCTCCTATTGAGCTAAAGTCTCCCCAACTAAATTCTGGCAGCTAAATTCCAATGTGGCATCCCTACTCACTCACAAACCTTCAGTCTCTTCTTGTCTCCTGGCTGCTTTCCTACTGCCTACAAATGTGCCCTATGCCCTCCTCAAAAGACCTTCATTTGATTTTTCCATCCCTGCTAGCTATTGCCCTATGTCTCTCTCCCCTTTCATGGCTGAATTCCATGAGTAGGTCATTTAAGATAGGTGTCACCACTTCCTGTCCCCTCACGCTCTTCTTAACTCTACAGTTTGGCTCCAGCCCTCTGCATTCAACTGAAATTGTCCTCTCCAAAGTTACCATCGATCTCTTACTCGCCAGGTCTGATGACTTTTTTCCATCCTCATCCTTCTTGACCTCTCTGCATCCTTGATACTGTTGATCACTTTCTTCTCTTTGATACTTTTCTGTAGGTTTTTGGACGCTGCTCTCTCCTGGTTCTCCTCCTACCTGTCTGACCACTACTTCTTAGTCTCCTTTGCTGGATCTTCATCCAGTTCATGTCCCCTCACTGTGAGTGTCCCCTGAGGTTCTGCCCTGAGCCTGGGCTCTGTCCTTTTCTCTTTTCCTCCTATACTGTTTCACTTGATGATTTCATCAGCTCCCATGGATTCAATTCTCTCTCTGCAGATTACTCTCAGATCTATTTTTCCAGCCCTAACCACTCTGCTGACCTCCAGACTCATATATCCATCTGTCTATTGAACATCTTGACACAGATGTTCCTTAGACTCAACAGTCCAAAACTTGAGCCCATTATCTTCTTCTGTCCCCTCACTCTTCCCCACCCTTGCCTCTATGAGACCTCCCTGTTCTATTTTTGTTTTGCTTTTTGGTGAGGCAATTGGGGTTAAGTGACTTACTCAGGATCACACAGCTAGTAAGTGTCAAGTGCCTGAGAGCAGATTTGAACTCAGATCCTCCTGACTCCAAGGCCAGAGCTTTATCCACTTCACCTAACTGCTCCCTCAGCCTCCCTGTTCTAAACTTCCCTATTACTATCAAGGTCACTACCATCCTCCAAGTCACCCAGGTTCATGATATAGGTGTCGTCCTTGAACCTTCACTCTCATCCAATCTGTTGCTTGTTATTGTTCAGTTGTTTTCAGTCGTGTCCAACTGTTCCTGACCCCATTAGGGGTTTTCTTGGCAGAACTACTGAAGCAGTTTGCCATTTCCTTCTCCAGCTCATTTTACAGATGAAGAAATTGAGGCAAACAGGGTTAAGTGACTTGCCCGGGGTCTGAGATGGGATTTGAACTCAGGAACATGAGTCTTCCTGACTCTAGGCCCAGCACTCTATCCATAGCGCCATCTAGCTACCCCAAATCTGTTGCTAAGCCCTATAAATTATACCTTTCCAACATCTCTTGTATATGTCCCATTCTCTGCTTTATCACTCTCACCACCCCAGTATAGACTTCTCATCACCTCAAACCTGGACTATTGTAGTGAACTGCTGGCCTCTCTGCTCCATTTATCCCCACCCCAGTCCCTTCTTCTCCATGCAGCTGCCAAAGTAATCTTCCTAAAGCATAGGTCAGGTCATGCCCTTTCCGTCCTCCATATACTCCCCTGGCTCCTTATTGCTTCCAGGATGGAATATAACATCCTCTGTTTGGCTTTTAAAACCCTTCATAAGCTGGCCCCTTCCTACCTTACCAGGCTTGGCCCTTTATTTCCCTCCATCGACTCTGTGATCCCGCGACACTGGCCTCCTTGCCTTTCGTCCCACAAGGAACTCAGTCATCCAGCTGAATGCATTTTCACTGGTTTTCCTTGATGGTAGAAATTCTCTCCTGCCTCACCTCCACCACTTGGCTCTCCTGACTTTCCCCAAATCCCAGCAAAAATCATACCTTCTGTAAGAAGCCTTTTCCAGCCCCCTGCAATGCTAGTGCCTTCTCTCTGAAATCCCCTCTCTCTGAAATCCCCCATATGTATTTTGTTTGGACATAGTTGTTTGCATGTTATCTCCTCCATTAGACTTTGAGTTCCTTAAGGGCAAGGACTTTTTTACCTTTGTATCCCCAGAGCTTAGTGCAGTGCCTGGCACATAATAAGGCCTTAATAAATGCTTGTTGTTGGCTTGCTGCAAAGTCAAAGAATGAAACAATCCCTACTCGGGAGGAGCTTACATTCTAATGAGGTAGATTACAAGTATTCATGCCCACCTGATCTATCCTTCCCCCATTACTGAGAGTTGCCCACTAACCTCCCCCACAATTCACTCAACGACCCCATTAACATCCTCTCCTGGAACACTACTCCCTACAGGTAACTGCCACTCTGTTTACTTACATCTCTCTTACTCCCTACACCATCACCTTCCTCCTCACCTCCTTTTCCTTACCCCTCATCACCCAACTTTTGTCATCCCTAGTATCTCTTCTCTCTTGCTTCCTTGGCCTTGAACCCTCTCCTTTTCGTCTCGTTCACCACGCTCTGCTTATCCCACACACCCAAGCTTGAATTCTTTCTGGTAGGAGATTTAACAAGGGCAGCCAAGGCTTAAAGTCCACTCTAGCCTGGGAGCTGTTGTGAGTGAGCAAGGATGCCCGCCCATGCAGATGTAAGAGCATCCACCAGATGGCAGCAGCAGCAGCCTTTCAGGGAAAAAATTTTGGAAGTGCTCAGTTTAGATACCTTTAGTGCAGGGGTTCTCCACCATTTTTGGGGGGTAATGGATCCCTTAGTCAATCTAGTAAAGCCTATGGACCTCTTCTTAGAATCATATTTTTAAATGCATAAAATAAAAAATGGGATTACAAAGGAAACCAATTATGTTGAAATTCAGTCATCAAAATATTTTTTTTTGAAAAAACAAGGTTAGAGGGCAGCTAGGTGGCACAGTGGATGAAGCACCAGCCCTGGAGTCAGGAGGACCTGAGATGAAAACCAGCCTCAGACATATGATATTCACTAGCTGTGTGACCCTGGGCGAGTCACTTAACCTGAATTACCTCACCAAAACAAAAAACAAACAAACAAAAAAAACCCCAAGGTTATAGAACCTAGGTTAAGAAATTCTGCTATAGTACATTAGTCTGAATGATCAAGGGCTTAGAGATCTTTGTGGAATCAGAGAATGTTAGACCTCAAACGTTCCCTTCCCTAGAGGTCATCTCATCCAACAGCTTGAAGAGCAAGGTGGGCCGGCTTCCACAAAGCAGGTCTAACAGGTGGGCAGGCAATCAACATCTATCAGACAATTACTGTATGCCAAGCATTGTGCTAAGTGCTGAGAATAAAAATACAAGCAAAAACAAAACAGTCCCTGCCCTCCTGGAGCTTCCATTCTGTTGGAGGAATACAACACATAAAAGGGAAAGGAAAAGTTTGGGACCACAGGGTGTGGTTAGGATAGAGAAGGTACCTGCTCTGGGGAAATACTCCTGGGCTGTGAAGCATAGTTCCCTACAGTGTTTGCTGGCCCTCAGAGCAATATCTTCCTCCCTCCCTCCCTCTTCTCTCTCTCTCTCCCTCTCTCTCTCTCTCTCTCTCTCTCTCTCTCTCTCTCTCCCTCCCCCCCTCCCCCCCCCCCCCCCCCCCCCCCTCCCCCCCCTGCTCCACCATGCCCTTGTGTGTGTATAAACACACACACACATACATACACACATACATATCGCTCTCTCTATATATACACACATTTTTACACGTACATATACATATGTATCTCACTCTGAAAGCTAACCTGTGTCTCTGTGTGTGTAATGTTGATATCTAGTTATCCTCCTAGAAGATGTGACTGGTAATAAAGGATGAACTCCAGCTTTTGCTATGGTCTTAGACAATCACTAGGACCAGGCTAGGACCACCCACTAGAGCCAGCTTCTCATGACAGCCGGGGCAGAAGCACCTATGGGGTGGACAGTTCTGCCAGACAGATACTGGAGGCAATAGTAACTGCTAACACCTAGCCCTTCGCCCAGAAACCTTGACATGCCCTCTGTATTTGACATCCCTCAAGGAATGGGTTTCCCTTCAATTCAGCTGAATTCAGTCAATGTGGATTACACATCTACCGTACGCCAGGCACTGTGCAAGGTGCTGGGGATAGAAAGAGAGACATTGAACTTTCCCTATCCACAAGGCACTCACATTCTCTCTGATTGGGGAACTATGTACCTCAAAAGTAAATATCAGATACATGCAAAATAAATACAAAGAAAGTCATGGGGGAGGATCCCTGAAGGCCTCGAAAGGAGGTTATACTTAAGCTGAGTCTTAGAGGATCCAGGAGGTCAAGGGGAAGCACAGAGCATTCTAGGATGGGGCACAGCCTGTGCAAATGCATGGCGGATGGAATGGAATATTATGGGGGACGGCAGATAGACCAGTTTGGCTGGAACTTGGAGTGTGGGAGAAGTAATGTGAAATTAGTCTAGAAAGCTTCGCTAGAGCCAGGTTGTACAGGGCTTCAGTTTCTGCAGTGATCAAGGCCCTACCTCGAGGGAAGGCATTTTCTGAAGGAAGGGAGAGCTGAGGAACATGAGTGGTTGTGGTTCAGTCATTTCCAGCTCTTGTGAGCCTGTGGACCTCTGTCCATGGGGTTTTCTTGGCAAAGATACTATAATGATTTGCCATTTCTTTCTCCAGGGGCAAACAGGTTAAGTGACTAGCTCAGGGTCATACAGCTAATAAGTTTCTGAAGGCTGGATTTGAATTCAGGTCTTCCTGACTCCAGACCCAGCGCTCTGTCCACTGGGCCACCTAGCTGCCTTCTAAGAGAGGATTAGGTATTAGAATATTATCCCAACCCTCATTAAACCTCAGCTTCCTTGTATCATCCATGTCACTTGTACCTCATCTTAGGCCTCCTGTAAACTTTACCTGCCATTGTGCTCCCCTTGGTCTCAATGCAGGGGCTACTGAATCCCCACCCTCAAATATGACCTGGCTATTATATGCCCTGATTGTTTTAGATTGAGAGGTACCTGCCTCCATTTGCCAAATTGTGTGTATGCCACTGGGGGCAAGTGGGCTATGGATGCCTTTAGGTGACAGCCTTGAACTTGGGGCTTATTTTCAGACCTTTGATGCTACCCTGGCAGGGCAGATTTGGGGTGGGGCAGAACCCAGGGATCATAAATTTAGTTGTGGAAGGTACATTCTATTTCTAGGCCATCTCTTCCAATCTCATTTTATAGATAAGGAAACTGAGGCCCAGAGAAGCAAAAACGGCTTTCCCAAGATGATACAACTACTAGCAGATAATAACAAAGCCAGGATTTGAACCCAGATGCTCTGATTCCAAATCCAGGGCTCTTTCATTGTGCTGTACTTCCTGAGCATCCCAAAGTCATTTCTGGGAACTTCTGGCAAGCCCAGGCCAAATCAGAATTCCAAAAGACCAGGATCCCCTGCCCATGAGTTTTTGGAAGTTCTGAGGGAGTGGAAAGATTGATAAAATTAAATGGTGTCCTTTATGAAGAGCAGCTAGGTGGCTCAGTGGATAGCACACCAGCCCTGCCATCAGGAGAACCTGAGTTCAAATCTAGCCTTCAGAAACTTACTAGCTGTGTGACCCTGAGCTAATCACTTAATCCTGTTTACCTCAGTTTTCTCATTTGTAAAATGAACTGGAGAAGGAAATGGCAAACCACTCCAGTATCTTTGCCAAGAAAACCCCAAAGAGTTGGACACAACTGATTGACTGAACTGGGGGGTGGGGAACCTGCTACATGTGGCCCTCTAGGTCCTCAAGTGCAGTCCTTTGACTGAATCCAGATTTCTCTGTGAAGGACCTAGAGGGCTGCATGTGGCCTCGAGACCTCAGATTCCCTATCCCTGGATTAGACAACAACAAATGCCTTCTAACCTTCATCCCTCAGGTCTGACATTCCAGGACCTTCTCTGAGCCCCAGAACTGACCTATTTGCTCGAAGACCTTGGCCTTCTTCCCATCAGATGCACACCCCCAGAGGTGGCCTTCGATGCCTCAGGGGCCCTAGGGCCACCTAAGAATTCAGGATAGTGACCCCGCCAGAGCCTGGAGCTTGTACCAAACCACATGGGGCACTGAATGACCTGACTGTTCCTCAGTAGTCAGCGCCATAACCTTGGAAGGCAACATTTTAACCCTCCTTCACTGATACAAGATTCCTAGGACAGATCCAACTCCTCTGGACCTAGGGTTTTTAACCTTTGTTGTGTCAGGACCTCCTGCCAGTTTGGTAAAGACTATGGATCCCTCTTCAGAGTAATGTGTTTAAATGCATAAAACAAAATACACAGGATTACATAGGAAGCCAATTACACTGAAATCATTATTAAAATATTTTTAAAACCAAGTTCATAGACCCCAGGTTAAGAACTTCTACTCCAAGTGGATACAGCACTGGCCCTGAAGTCAGGAGGACCTGAGTTCAAATCCAGCCTCAGACTAAACACTTGAACTTACTAGCTGTGTGACCCTGGGCAAGTCACTTAACCCCAATTGCCTAAAAAAAAAAAAAAAAGAACTCCTACTCCAGAGACACTTGGGATAGGGACAATACTGATTTTTATAATGGTTGATTCTATAATCCAAAGGGGGCTGACCAGATATTTCCCATTTCTAAGAAATCTGGGAAAGCCTGCATGGTAGAGGCTGTATAGCTGGTTTCAGAGCCAGGAAGGTCTGGGTTCAAATCCCATCTCTGACACACATTAGCTGTGTGACCTCTTAGATTCTCAGTGTCCAGACAACTCTCTCAGACTTTAAGTTGTAGAGTAGATGCCAGTCTCCACTGGTAAAGAGAATTTCCTCATCAGGAATCCCTTATGCCTACGAAATCACAGGTGTGGGGGAAAATGTCAAAAGGGGCAGAGTAGAATGGGATGAGCTGGGTGCCAGGTTGCCAAAATCCCTTTTCTTCTTCATCTCTCCTAGTGCCCTTCAGCTTTGACCCCAACACAGCAGCCGGCTGGCTCTCCGTCTCTGACGACCTCACCAGGGTCACCAACCATGGCTATCGGGTCCAAGTGGAGAACCCTGAGCGCTTCTCATCCTCTCCCTGCCTGCTGGGCTCCCGGGCCTTCTCCCATGGCTCCCACACCTGGGAGGTGGATCTGGGTGGGCTCCATAACTGGCGGGTGGGTGTAGCTCGGACTCGTCGAGAGTCTGGTGGGGACGGGCACTCGCACAGCTGCTACCACGATGCCCGCTCAGGCTTCTGGTACATCTGCCGCACCCGAGGAGTGGACGGGGATCACTGTGTGGCGTCCGATCCTTCGGCTTCGCCCCTGGGCCTTGTGCTGCCTCAGCGCCTGCGTGTGGAGCTGGAGTGTGAGGAGGGGGAGCTCTCCTTTTACGATGCTGAGCGGCAGTCCCACCTCTACACCTTCCATGGCCGCTTTGGGGAGGTGCGGCCCTATTTCTACATAGGGGGTACGCGGGCAGACACTCCCCCTGAGCCTCTGCGCCTCTGTCCACTCCATATCCAGGTCAAGGAAGAACTCTAAGGCCGAGGGCCTTGGAGTTAAATCTTTCCCTTCTCTAATTCAATACCCTTCCTTCCCACCTTCCCCATTGCACTTTCCCTAGTATTCCTGTTCATTCTCTACCTCTCTTCTACCTGCCCCTATCTTCTCCCCAGAACACTGGTTTTTAAGTCCCAGAGCCTGTGTTCAAATCCCAGCCCTACCACTTACTACCCGTGTGACCTTAGGAAAGGTCACTTCTCTTCTACTGGTCTTAGTTCCATCATTTTTTATTTTATTTTATTTTTATTTTATTTTTTAGAGACTAAGTCTCCCTATCTCACCCAAGCCAGAGGTGCAGTAGCCACACTAAAGCGCAACACGAATGCTTTAACCTGCCCCATTTTTCTGACCTGGGTCAGTTTGCCCTTCCTTAAGCAGCCTGGTTTCTCCCTTTCATTCTCAGGGCTCCCCCTATTGATGTTAGACTTAGCATAGCCACCCATCTGCTTTTGCCCCACTGCAGCCCAGAACCCCCATACTCCAGCAACCCACCAGCCTCAGCCTTCCCCAGTAGCAGGGATTCCAGGTGTGAGCCGCCACTCAGCAGCCCCCTCATCCATAGATGACTTTCAAGGTCCTTTCCAACCTCAAGAGAGTCTGTGATGCTGGGATCCCTTCGCAGTTTGGTCACCAGATTTCCCAACTTGCTCTGTGAGTGATAAGGTCATAGAATCTAGAGCCCCAGAGACCATCCAGTCCAACTCCATCATCCTACAGAGGGAGGTGAAGTAACTTACCCAGCGTCACTCAGGTAGTATTTGGCAGAACTGAGAGCTGAGCCTAGGTCCAGATAGACTATGAGAGGTTAAAGGGCAGGAAAGCAGCTAAGTTCAGAAGAAGCCTGAGTGCCTGGCCTTTGCTGGGCTGCTGCTGACTCTGCACTTTAAAGGGTCTCGCATGTTTTTCCTCTCTGGTCCTTTTTTTTTTAATTAAATTTTATTTTATTTTCACAAAGATTTGCCTTCACTCCCTCCCCTCTTTCCATCCTCCCCCCTTTGAGAAAGCAAGAAAAGTAAAACACTTATTAAAAACATGCATAGTCAAGCAAAGCAAATCCTCACATTGGCCATGTCCCCAAAATAGGACTGTTTTCACTCCTGAGTTCATCACCTCTGTCAGGAGGTAATTAGCACGTTTTATCATGAGTCCTCAGGCATTCTGGTTCATTACTGTGTTAACCAAAGTAGGACCATTCCTTCTCTTTCTTTTCATCCTCCCTTGCCCAATACCTAAAGAAAGTTGCCACAGCCCAGTTCTTAACCCCCTTTCTGCATTTCCTCCTTGCTCTTAGCCTTAGCTCATCTATGAGTAGGCTCTGATTTACACCATAATACATTGCCCAAAACTGTCATAAAGAAGACAGTTGGAGCATCACCCATGTCTGTATAAGAATGACATCCTAACTGCAGGGTGTGTTATTCACCATAGGCCCAATATCAGACAAATCATGGAAATAATTAGCAGGATATCTTAAGGGTTAAAACCTACATGAACCTCTACAATCACATTCTAAATCCTCTAAAATGGGTATAGATGTATTATACACATTGATTAAAGCACCCCAAATATACCATAAGGTGTACATGCTGCATGTAAAAATAAAATTACTGTATCGCAGATTGGACCTATGACATGATGAAAATAAACATTGGACATTTAATTGCCCATGCTGCTTGCTGCTTTAGAAGTTGGGTTGGCTATCTAGGGAAGACTCATCTTTCTGAGTTCAAATCTGGCTTCAGACACTTACTAGCCATATGACCTTGGAGTTTCCTCATCTGTAAAATGAGCTGGAGAAGGAAATGGCAAACCATTATAGTATCTTTGCCAAGAAAACCCCAAATGGGGTCACGAAGAATTGGACACGACTGAACAACAATAACAAAATCTAGGGAAACCTGAACTAATGCTTTGTTTTTCCTCTCAATAATTTCCCAAATGTATAGTTGTGAATCATAGAATAACTACAGTCTCAGAAAAACGAGTTGATGTTCAGCCATAGGGCAATGGGGAGGTGCATGGTGGATGTAAACAGGCTGCAACACATTTTAAACAAGGAATTATGTAGAAAAAGTGACTGCATTTTCTTCCAGAGACTTAGTGGTAGCTAGAATCTAGTACAGAGGTATACAACACTCCCTAAGTGCTGCAAGAACCAGATTAAAAATGTAATTGGGAAATATTTAACCAAATAAAAATACAATAAAACTAATATTACATTATAAAACTGAGTCAATATGTGGCCCGCAGGGATCCTTCTGTACGAATTGATGGCTTCTGATTCTATTCCAGTTTGACACCTCTGCTCTAGTACTGTTGGTATTGTCCTGTATCTCAGATACTTTATGGGTTAAATGGGGTTTGGACGCCTGTCCCGGGACCCTAACCGCCATGCTGTCCGTTGCTTCTGTAGGGAAATGGCTCTTGAATTCTAAACAGCCAACTTTTTAAAGTTGGAGACTGCCTGTGTAAAGCCATGAACCAACATGTTTTGAACAAATTAAATAATTTTTATTATAGCTAACATTTCTATGATGGTTACTATGTGCCAGGCACTGTGTTAAGTGCTATACAAATATCTCATTTGATCCTCACAACAACCCTGGGAGGTAGGTGCTATTATTATCCCCATTTTACAGGTGAGGAAACTGAGACAAGCAGACGTTAACTGACTTGCCCGGGGTCGTACAGCTAGTAAGTGTCTGATGCCAGATTCGAACTGCAGGTCTTCCTGACTCCAGGCCTGGCACTCTAGCCACTGTACCGCTTACCTGCCCCTAGAATTTTTTAACGTATTTTAGTATCGTCGTCCACTATTTCTATATGTGATAGTTACAGTCCTGAGACCTACTCTAGGGCCTGCCTTAATGTGCTTTTTAGGTGACTCTCGGTCTTCTAGGACTATCCTACTGGAGCATAAGCTCTGGGAGTTCTGTCAGAGAGAGGCAGTGTTACACCATTGGAGTACTAGACTTGGAGTCAGGAAAACATGGGTTCACATTCTGTCTCAGGTGCTTATTATCTTTGGAATCCTGGGTGAGCTACTTCACTGCCAAGCCTTGGTTTACTCATCAGTAAAATAGGGATAGTACTAGCACCTAGCTTATTGTGTGATTGTGTCTATCAAATGGGAAAATACACGTGAGGTATTTGGCATATCTTAAAGTATAATAACAAACGTGAGCTGTCATTATTCTCAGCCAAAAAGGGTTCCAGTAGATCCCCAAAAATGAACTGGATGGCCACTCCCTAAGGACCAGCCTCGCTAAATTCAGAGACCCTCATCATCAGGTTAGCCTCAGAGTGAGGAAGTTTTGGTCCAGCTGAATTATCACAACTATTGAATTGTAGTGGAAGGGTTGCAATCAGTTCAGATTGCTCCACCAGTCCAGGAGGAAGGAGGACACCAACGAACTCAAAGATCCTTTAGGTCTCGGTATATCACGCACATGTTGGCATGGTGGTACCTTCTGGTAAAAAGTATGCTGGACTAGGAGGCAGGAGACCTGGGTTCTTAGTCCTACTTTTATCACTAAATAATGATGATGATGACGGTAATAATAATAATAAATCTCACCCTTCATAATTTACAAAAACACTTTCTGAGGTGTCAACTAATCAGCAACTCTTTCTGGGAGGCTTATTATGTGCAAAGTGCTGAGGATACAAGAAGCAACAACAGTCCCTCCTCTCAAGGAGCTTATATTCTAATAGAGACAACATGTATACAAATATATAAATAGATACATACAAGATACAACCTCAAGTAAATGGAAGGTGCCTTTGCAGGGGAAGGGGAAAAAGGCTGAGGAGTGTAGGGAAGACATCCTGGAGAAGATGGCATTTGGAAGCCAGGGATTCGAAGAGGCAGAGGTGACAAGGCTGAGGCTGATCCAGGCAAGCAAGACAGATAAGATACGGAGCATCATGTGTGCATCAGGATGCAGGTACCTCAGAGTGTATGGAGGGGCAGTCAGTCAGTCAACTCATATTTAGTAGCACCTACAATATGCTGGGCACTATGCTAACCTGTAGGAATACAAAGAAAGGCAAAAGATAATCCCTGATCTCAAGGAGTTTATAATCTAATAGGGGAGATAATGTGCAAACAATTATGTACAAATAAGATCTATATAGGATAAATTGGAGAGAGTGTGTAAGAAGACTGAAAACATAGGAAGGAACCAAGTAATAAAGAACTTTAAATGCTGAAAAGAAGAACATATGTTTGATCCTAGATGTAATAGGGAGCTATTTATAATTTACTGAGCAGTAGGGTGCCACGGTGAGACATACGAGGCTTTAGGAAAATCTGACAGATACACAGAGGTAGATTAGAGTAGGGAGAAATGAGGCAGGGAGATTGCTTAGGAGTCTATTTCAACAGTCCAAGCAGGAGGTGATGAAGGCCTGAATTAGACTTTGATGACTAGACAGGAGGGACCATATCCAAGAGATGTTATAGAGAAAGAAATGACAAGATTTGGCCTATCGGATAGGTAACAGTAATGAGACTCAGAAAGGTCATACTTTTATTAAATGGTGAAGTCCAGACTTAAACTCAGGTGTTTTGACTAGAAGCCCTTTCCTCTTTTCCATTGCATCACACTACTCTCAACCTGCTGTGTGACCTTAGGCAAATCACTTCACTTCTCTGTTTCCTCATTTGCAAAACCAGGGGCTTAGATGAGATGGAAATAGCTTGGCACAGTGGAAAGAGTATTGACTGTGAAACCATGGAGGCCTTTTTGGTTCCAGCCCTACTTCCAGCCCTGAACCTATGATCTGAAAAGTCCTTTAGCCAGGCGTCTTGTACAAAAGGGCAAATTACATGAAGAGCAGAGACAAAGGAGGAGCTAAGAGGGTGTGGTAAGAAGCTGTCTAGGATGTAGTACATAAGCAGTGTGAAACAAAGGACATTGTTTAATATGACCTTTTACAAATGCACATAGGGAGTCATATATTATGGAACAAATAACCCAATGAGATCATAGAGCCATTTGAGTGTGTGAGTAAATGTGCATATTTTAATGCTAGGAAATTCTGCTCTCTGTAATATATCTATTTTGTGATAAATCAGTTTGCTTGTATAACAGCAAAGACACTAGTGGACAATAGCCCAGGGCGAGGCCCCTACAAGTTTCAAACCTCGCCTGGGGTGCACATTTGTGCTTTGTCTTAGTGATTGGCAGAACATACATGCAGTCCAGGCAACAAGTCAGACAAAAAGAATTTATTAAGCACCTACTATGTGCCAGGAACTGTGTTAAGGCTAGGACTACAAAGAAAGGCCAGAGACAATTCCTTGCTGTCAAGGAGGTCATGGTCTCATGTCTATAAAATAAATCAACAACTCTGAAATATATAACAAAAGCATTATCATGTAGCAGGGGACTGGTGATTTGTCAGAATTGTTGAAACTGAAGAGGAGATCAAATAGCTAGTCTCTTTGCCCAATGGGAATAGGAGCTCGGACTGCAGCAGGAGAGATTTCAACTAAGCTAAAAGGTTGGGGCAGGGAGGCCAATAGGTTGACAGAGGCATTGGATCATCTTCTTCCTGAAAGGTCACCCCAAAAGGAATGAACTCCTAGATGGACACAAAGGGAGGGATGTGGTAGCTCCGAGAGGGAGGGTTAGAGGGAGGCTTCAGGCATAATTAGGCTGGCTCCTTTCCATAGACTGTAGGATCTCCATATCAGGAGCTCTGCTTTGGGGAATGCATTTAGATTAAAAGCTGATGTCATCTGACACACAGAATGTCTCCTGATCTGCCTGCTGTTTATTCTGGTTTGTTTGTGGGTGTCAGCTGGGTGGGTCTTTTCTGCCATGGAAGAACTTACTGCAGGGATGAAGATGAGAGGGCTTGGTTTCTATGGTTACTAGGATGGCTGGAATTTGCATAATGCTCTTCATCCAAAAGACAGTTTAGGAACAATGTGAGGTGGAAAAGAATAGAGCAGGAGCTATCTGAAAGGCCAGG